GAGGAAAGTGAAACTTTAGACCTGTGCCTCACAAATTAAAAACCTGGAGTTCTTCTTGGGCCTCAGTGAAGATGCTGAGGAGAAGGACAGAGTTGTGGTCTCCTTTGTACCCTTAGGGAAGGAGTCAGAGGCTATTATAATGATTAAAGGGCAGGAATGGACATGATAGATACAGAGCAAAAAGAAAAAAATGGTACCTTCCCATAAGCCTGGACCTTATAACTCCCACTTAATAACAGCCAATCATTGAACTATGAACTATAACATAACATTAGCTTATACTTTCAAATACTACATATCTTCTTAAGTTCCCCCACTGTCACAAAAGATAGAGGTAACCAAGTCAGAAGTTCTGATCAGTTCATGACAGTCATCCCATCTATTTTGAGTAATGATTAAAAACTGAACAAGAAAATAACTACTACAAGACATTAAGCTCCTAAGTCAGAGAGTCAGAGGATTGTTCCAGTGTCTGCATTAAGCTAGGACTATGCTTAAAGTCTCTCCCTATCAAACAAGATACTATACTCCTCTCATGTCTATTTAATGAGAACCAACATAAATTGATGAACAACTTTTATATTGACAAAGCTGTCATTGAAGTTGTTTTACTTGTTCTCTTTTTTGAAGGTTTGGGGAAAGAAGACTTGTATTGTTGTTATTCTTTCTTAGAATTGTATAAAAATAGAATCTATCACCTCCTTGTGTCCAGGTCTAAAGATAATAAGGAAATAATTGAAGGGTGGGAGGAGTAGAGCTTACATAATTGAGGGCTTACAGGACTATAAGGGTACATACCCTTTCCCTTGGAAAACTGTACTTTTCCCAAGTACTGACATTTACATGTGTCATAGTTCTGCAGAAGCATGCATCTAATAATGATATTCACCAGTCAGATACCCCGAGTTAGATAAATACAAATCTTTGTTTAAAAGGGTTGTTGATTTGGAGTTTATATGTGGTGAGGATCATGGATGAGGGAAGAAAAAAAGTTAGTGTATGAGAGAGGGATTCAACATCAACAACATGTAATCTAAACATTAACAAATCCTGCATAAATTAGTTGCTTTGTATCTTCTATTTCCCTCTTCCCTCATGTTTACAGACTTTGGAAAATATATATAAACTACTCAACAGTTCAACCAGTTTTGCTCTTTCTGAAGATCCATACAATTTTATTGCAGGAAAATTTGGATCTCAGTTAAATTGGCAGTCATGATTTCTTTTTCTATATCTCTCTAAGAGGCTCACTGAAATGTTTGGTGTCTCTGTTTCTGTTTTGTTTTGCTCTTTTAAAAATAATAATGCCTGCTAGTAAAGCAGTTGATCCTTTAAAACCAAAAACACCAACTCAGTCCAGTAGACATCTGCCCAAAGTTCCCAGTTCTGAAAGCCAGGGGCTATTTGTTATTCTCACAGCAAAAATTCATGCAAAGGTTAATAATGTGAACACCATCACTCAGTGAGGCACTCCTTTGGAAATTAGTACACCACATATATTAACAAAACCTCTTAACATTCACTACACTTCTTAACACAAGGAAAATAAAGAAAACAAATATGAAAGCTGAGATGACAAGTCCTGACCATAATTGAGTGAATTTCTCAATGGCTTCTACTCAATAATTTCAAAGAAAAAGAAGAAACACCATATGCAATGCCACTCTTAGTGAGCTTTCTGATCCGAGTACCAACATGACTATGCTGCACCAAAAGTAGAACAAGTACCAAACTCAGCATCAATGTGGCATTTCACTCTTTCAAGCATGAATGCTGAACTGGAAGAAAGAAAACTAAATGAAGGGCATCAATCTTATGAATATTTGCTGGCATTCTATCCTCCTAAGTCATTAAGTGGTGCCTGCTTCAAAACATGTAAAAATGTAAAATGCTCTTATCTCCATCAAACAAACCGTGCCATCCAGAAGATACTATGAGACTAAAGAAATGGGAAGTCAGAGGCTACAGTCAACTTTGTTTTCACAGGATGTAGACTCATTTTTACCCAGTAAATCTTTCCATTCAATCAACTTTGGCAATATTACATGAATCAATAATGAAAAAATAAATCTGATTGACTTATTAATATTCTTATTTAGACATTAATTTGAAATTTAGCAGTAATAGAAAGACAATTTAGTTATCAAAATTATAAACCCAACTGGACATCATTGACTAACTGGCCTTATGCTTCATGACAATTCCATTTTATAGTTTCATACTCTACTTTGACTGGAATACAGATTTATGTGTGTGTGTATGTGTGTGTGTGTGTGTGCATACATGCATGCGTGCTTGCTTGTGTGTGTTTCAGTGGGTATGAATTATCTCTTTGGGGAAGGAGCGAATGGATATGGTTAGATAAATCTTGTAAAACTTTTTCAGTTTGGGGGAAAATAGATATCTTTGAATTTTCTTTCTGACATTTACAAAGTATGAGATAGTATTATTACTGCAGCTAGCTATAGCATGAAAGAATTTCAAGATGTATTAAATTTAAAGGAGTTTCAGCTTAAGTAATTTCCTTTCTTTTGTCTCATGTTTAAATAAAAAGTGCTAAAATGGAGGTGGTTGCTTTGAAAAGAGAGAGAGAAAAAACAGTTGTACAATGTGACCTCTATACTAGTACAAATAATACTGCTTCTTTTCAAGCTACATGAGTTTAGAACACTGTGTTTGTTTTTCTGATTTCTCTCTCTGCCATATTTAGTAGAGTTCTATTCAAATAATAAGGTAAAAAAAATTATCCAAAGGGGCATACAGTTTTGACAAAGGGATAAAAATGGCAGATGAGAATTATAAATTTTAAGATTTTCAAAAATCTACTACTTTTCACTATAATGAGTAGGTGTAAAATTAACTTAAATTTCAGAAAATTTGATTGGTGGGAAATATTAAAATTCAGCAGGGACAGAAGAACCTTATAACTGACTAAATTGGAAAGATTAAATGCATCAAGTCCTACCTTATGAAAATAGTTGAAATCAAAACTTGGGTAAATGCCAATGGTATTACCAGGTTACTAAATGACGTGTGTGTGTGTGTGTGTGTGTGTGTGTGTGTACACATATATATATATACACATATACACATACACATATACATACATATACATATACATATGCATATACATATACATATTAAAGAGGCCTAAAGGCAGCACTATTTAGAGGATAAGCTTCCATCAATGCAGGCCTTGATGACTAAGGCAAAAAAAAAAAAAAAATAGACATCTTGTTAGAGGTAGACAAGTCCAGTACTGCTCTCTCAATAACCAGAACAGAATAAATTGATTGAAATAAAATTACACAAAAAATCAAGTGCATGATTTGGAAACTCAGACACTTTGGTTACATCATTTCAAGAGATTTTTTTTTCCCTCCATTTCATACTATCTGCTAAGACAAGTTACTATTTGGTGTCTACAGTATTGGCCAAAAGAATAAAATAAAATAAAAAATACTGGAATTGCCTACCACTACAAAACATTACTGTCTTACTTAAAAATTACTGAAAAAAGTCATAAATAGCTTTTCAGCTTTCTTCCCAGAAATATGGCACGTTAATTGGACTAGGGAGCATGGCATCCATCTTTTTCCATATGTGATACATATCATTTTAACCACTTATAGAGAATCTAACTGTCATTTTGGCAAAGAACTGCAAATGCCTGAGTCCTTTATGCCTGAGCATCAAGAACTAGGTTATCTTTCTTGCAAAGTTGGAAATTGACAGAGTAAGAACATACGGCTATTTTTAAAATCTATAATATTTACAGTATTGCACTTTACTGCACATAATTGCATTTCACTAAAATTAATGCTGCATCAGTATTATGCCTTAAAACCATATGTCCATCTTTTTATATCAGTCATTTGTTTCTGAATTCTGTAAAACAGCAAAATGTCAATTCAAGATTCAAATATTTGTAAAATTATAAAGTCAACCTGTTCCTATGGCACAATGCATCTCAACTAGTTCAGGTAATATGGGGTCAAACTGTGCATTAATATTGTTCCCATAATTCAAGTCACCATTAATGGTTACAGCTTTAGTAATTCAGGTCTTTCTCCCCCCTCCCCCCCTTCAAAGGATGTAGCCATTTGAGAGACACATTTTGTTATTGCTGCTTTTTTTTTTCCTTTTTTTTTCTGGAAAGGAAAGTACTGCCTCTTGCCTCAGATCTGAAATTCCACATTTAAATTCAAACCAGTTCCGCTGCAGCTCTTCAATGATGGAAGATATTCATGGCAGTGAAATAATACTGTTGGCAACAAAGAAATGTCATCTTTAATGGAGACCAGCCCCAAGGATCTTTTGTTTAATATATTTTATGATCTTCAAAATGTGTTTAGTTAGACACATGCACAGGGTAGCAAAACTGACAGCAGAAGATGAGTAATGCTGATGTGATCAATTTTGCCAGGGTCAAAATCCCAAAGTCCCAATGTTCACAGATTAGTATCATTTAGGATTTTTGTTGGGTCCCTCCCGCCCACCACCTACTTATCTTCCCGAAAGTCTTTGTGAGGGTTTTGTTGTTGTTTGTTTTAGTGTATTTTTTTTTAATAAGATAACTCTTACTTAATTAGTATTGAGGCTGATTTCAGGCCATCACTGCCTCCTGCTTTTAATCGTACTAAGAGCACCAAGCGCCAGAGAGAAGGAGAGATGCTGGAGCCTAAACTCTTCAGAACCAACTGGGCTCCATCGTGAGTGAGGAGCCTTTGGGCTCAGAGCGTGCACTCCTGGGACCTTGAGTCTGTCAAAGCACTCGGTGGGGTCTTTTCAAGAACAAAAAGGCGATGGTTTCGGGAGAGCCCAGGTCAGGACATTAGGAATGAAGAGAGAATCAAGTGGGGACGGGGGCGAGGGAGCGCGAGGGGTCGAGTCCTGGTGCTGCTGGCGCTCGGCGGAGAAGGGAGAGGAGAGAGCGAGAGAGAGAAGAGAAGGGGAGGAGGGAGTTCCAGTCCGTTCCGTGTCACACGTGGCGCTGGGGGTCAGAGCCCCAGGGCCTCGGCGTGTTTCCGGGCCTTGAGCCGCAGGTCGGCGATGCTGGAGTTTTTGCTGTTGCTCTTGGCAGCGGCGGCCACCACGGCGGCAGCTGAGGCTGACTCCGCCAAGGAGGCGATAGGGAGCCCGAAGGGAGGCGGTGGAAACATCAGATAGGGGGCGTGGGCAGCCAGGTGGGGATGCAGGTGAGGGTGAGCGTGGGCCACGCCTTCCAGCTGCAGCTGTGCCTGGACCTGCGAGGAGGAGTGGATGGTGGAGGGCGGAGGGGGGGGAGGTGTTCGAGGAGGAGAAATAGTGGACAAACAGATAAGGTTAAGGGAGAGGAGCTAAGCTCCCCACTTCCCACCTCCATCCCACATCCCATCTTTTTCTCCCAGTACGGTCCCAGTAAAGGAGAGGGAGGAGGGAGTGATAACATTTCGCAACTGGAAGGGGCCATCTACTTCATCCCACCCCATTTTACACCTGAGGAAACTGAGACTCAGACAAGAGGTCCCATGGCTCCAGATCCCTGGCCAGGACTCTCCCCATGTCGTTTCAGAGGGCCCAGTTGTTTGACTACAGCCGAAGATGAAGTAGAGGATGGGAAAGGGGTTATTCGAATTACTGAAGGAGTGTTATTTTTTTTTCTCTCAAAAGAAAAAAAAAAAGTCTTCTCAAGAAATGTCTCAATTCTGTTTAGCTTTGGCAGTGGAGATGAAACTTCTCAGGGAAATGCCTCTTCACTGCCCAGTTGGAGCCCCTACACTCCATCAGGGGAACAAAAAGAAACAGCCTTCCCCTCCCCCTGGAGACTGGGGTTTGCCAAGTCCCCAGGCAGGAAAAGAAGGGGTCGCTGCACTCTTATAAATCTGTGTCAGACCCTGGCCAGCCTCCAGGTCTCAGGCAGACACCCGTAAAAAGAAACGATGAGGCAGGCAGTGACTGATTCTTCGGGTGCACGAGATGGTAAAAGGCAAAGTACACTGAATCTCTACTTTGCTGCCTGACCTCCAAGGGTGCACTTTCATAATCCTTCTGCAGTGTTGGGAGGGGGGGCGGGGGAGGAACCAATCGTTGAGCCCCAGAGAGATGCTGTCTGGTAAAAACCAAAATTTCACTTTATTTGACCCTTTGACATTTCAACCTCATCAGTAGCTGGAGATTGGCCCCAAGGCAGAATTCACTGCACCATTCTGCTGGGTTAGTGTCCTCAGCAGGCAGATTGTGAGGGGATAGTTCTGAGTCAGCAGGAGTCTGATCTTCGAATTAAAGTTTTACCAAATCTCTAAGGCTGCAAATACGCCACATCCAAGGGCAATTAGGAGAGTAGAACCCCTGTGCCCTGCTCTCCGCCACATAGATTAGCCCCTGGGTCGGGGAACTAGGTGCTATCTAGCTGGACTCCGTAAGCTATGTTCTTATTAAGGCTGGAAATTCGGGCTCCAGGATCAGGGCCAAGGATGGAATGCAGAAACTGGGAGATGAATGATACGAACAATCTCGAGGTACACAAGACACAAAGCTAAAATGAGAACTGGCTTGAATGCTCTATGCTGGGGATGGGGGTAGAGAAGAAAGGCATAGTATTAAAAAGAGGGGAGAGACAGGGATAGAAACAGAGACAAAGAGAGAAAGAACCCAAGGGGGGAGGGGGATGAAGACATAGCAGTCAACCAATATTTCAAAAATGAACTGCCTACTGGCCTTGGAGCCAGCAAGTGCTAAATAGCATTTTTTTTCAGGGCTGTTTATTTATACCTTTCTAAAAACTCTTTAACCTTTTACAAGGGACCAATAGTTACTGTTTACTTTGGAGCTTCCTTCACCTCCACAAACACATGGATTGAACAAACTGATTTCAGTCTCCTTCTTTAGGATCCAAATATAAATCTCAATCCCTGCCCTCTCAAAAAAAAAAAAAAAAAAAAACCTGGGCATAACTTCTACCATCTTAAATATTTCATTTTCCTCTTCGACAAATTCTTTTTTGCTCCAACTTAGGAGGCGGTGAATAAAAAGGGGGGCTCACCCCCTCCTCCATGTTGGGACACTGGGAATAAAGACTAAATCTTTGCAAAAAAAAAAAAAAGAAGTAATTTTGCTTGCACCCATACCTCCTGCAGACTTATTCCCTACATCCCCAAATGTGAAGAGTGGGGGGCGGGGGTGCAGAGCTACATGGTCTATACACACAGTCCCCTCATTCTTCAGCTCCTGAAAGGAGGTTCCAGACCAACCACCTCGCTGTGAAAAGAGGACGCCCAATTATTCAGTGTCGAATTTTCCCCCTAGCCCTAAAAGACTCGCTGTTGTGTAGTTTAGGTGAGAAACCTTTTCTTTTGCTTTTTCAGCTATCTGCTTCAAAGAAACCGAAGACCTCAGATTTCAGCTTAGCTCCCCGCCCAAAATCCTAGACAAAGATCTGTGCCCCTTTGTCTTCTCTTACCAATTTATTAGAGGAAAAAGAAGGGGGAGGAACGGGTCATTCTTGGTTTTGTGTTTGTGCTAAATGGATATTTTAAGCTTATTACATCACGTCTCCCTGATGTGACTTGTTTTCTAGTTTCTTTGCCCCCTAGATTGCTTTTCCTCTTGGCCACTTAAATCGCACTAAGAGTACAAATATGCAGAAAGAGCGCACCCTGCTCTGGTTGGATCACTACGAAGTTCAGAGGATCCCGGCACCTGCATGATTTCACTTCACTAGACCAGAGGATTTCACCTCTCCCAGGCAGTCCTTAGTTTCAGAGCGAAGTCTGCGTGGCGCTAACGCAACCCTATGCTAACTACATTAAAGTTAAAGAATCTCTTCCAAGACCTGTACTGTTTGCCTCTTGTCGAACCTTATTTCTTCTTCCAGGCCTCTTATTGGCCTACGCACGTCGTCTTCCCCACATACTTTCCTGATTTCTCCTCTGTTTGTGCCTGCAAAGGCAGCTTGGGGGAAGTGGCTCGTGGATGGGTGGGATTTTTTTTAAATTTTTGTTGTTTTTAGTTTGGTTTAGGGGTTTTTCTTTCCCCTCCAGAGGTAACTTTTGAAGTTTTACAGCGTGATTTTAATACGTGCCAACTTGTATATAAATGCCACTTGTAAAAAGTGTCTCACTTCCTTTCTTTAGACGGCAAATTGAGAAGTAAGAGGAGGGGGCGACGGGAGAAAAGAGAAGGAAACAGGGAAAGGAAAGAGAGAAAGCAGTCGGGCAAAGGTTTAAAAGGAAGAAAAACGAACTACCTGTTGGAAAGGCATCCTCAGGGCTCCCATATTAACATAAGGGGCTACCCTGCAGGCGTCTAAGTGGCTTGCAGTTCCCAAAATAACGCCTGAAAAAAAAATCATAGATTCCAGGTCAGCAACTTCAATCTTCCCGGATTCTCTACCCCCTTTTCTCTGGATACAACGATCCTATCACCCCTCCTTGCCCTCCCTGCCCCCAAACCCAAAGTCCTCAATCCTGAAGCTGAGAGTCCTGGAACTCCTGAACCACCCTCAATCACCCACCTTTGTGCATCTGATTCTCTTGCTTTCGGCACTTAGCTCTTCGATTTTGGAACCAGACCTACAGAAAATAAATAGATAAGTCTTGAGGGCAAGGGGGCAGAGCGGAACAATGTAAAAGAGGAGAAATCAACACACACACACACACACACACACAGAGTGAGTGAATGAATTGACTCAACTCTGGAGTTTTATTACCCCTTGGTTTCAAAGAATTGTAATCTCTGACTCCAGTCAATCTCAGATCAGTTCTCTGTCCACGGAATCTCTCCCAATTTACCACATGCCATTGGCTGCTTTCTTTTTTTCTTTATTACAAAAAGACATTGGTCTTAATACTTTAAAAAATAAAGAAAAATAGAGGGGGAAAGGAGAGGGGTGACCTTCATAAAGATTTATTTGGTTCTGATGACTTCTCCAAACCAGAAAAGTTAGGATTCTTAGTAATCAAGGAATGAGGACAGAAGAAAACAGCCTCTGCAACGCCACAATAGAAAACAGAGATTACTCAGGGCCAAATCCCATCCAACAAACTTCTCTTCCTAACTTTACCTACAACTTGGCTGTCACCTCTTAGTGTCCACCTCAAGCTTTAAGGATCTCATTTAAGATCAGGTAGGGATTTGAATGGAAGTGTAAACAGCAGAGGAGCAACCCGAGAGCCAAATAAATGGGAGTAGAGGGGGGGACACGAATTCCCCTTCAGTCATCAACAACGATCCAAAACTCTTACGATGACTTTTTGATACACTACTTTAAAAAACATAACGAACTTCATCCAAGTTAGGATTTCAGGAGTCATGCAAACAAGAGCAAAATGTCAGTGATCCAATAAAAGCTGGTTTCATTCCAATAACCAAAACTACTTTTAAAAAAAAAACACTTTCGATTGCCTTTTTGTTTAATCTGTTTCACATCAGCTTAGTCCAACAACAAACAGTTGCCCTTTAAAAAAACTTTCCTCCTGTAAGTGCTGTAAGACAAAGGCATAGGATTTGGGGAAGATGGTTAATTTCGAAAATCTAAAGAGTTTGGAATGATTTCCCGAGGCGCCTTCTCTTTATTCCCCTATCTCCCATATCCCACTGCCCCACCCCTCCTCTTACAAAGCTCTGGGATGTGGACAAACATTAACTTCCATCGCTGATAAAATCTGAAGTTAAATAAACACCTCCAACCTTTGATGTTCCTACACTTGCCAAGCGATCACACGGTTAATTAATACTAACTGCACTTCCTACAGCAGCTTTCCCCTTCAAGCTTTTTTCAATTGCCTTAATGATGGTCATTTACAACGGAGTAATTAGTGCAAAGAAAGGCTTCCGAAGGCATTAATTACCCAGTGTACTTCAGTGCCTTGCTGGGCTGAAAGTGCTCTTTCTGCCCTCCCTTTCTGAATTGCCGGAACACCAACTGATCTCCCGAATAATACTAAGCCTTCTCCATCTCAGTTAAACCTCAGCAAATCTTGAACTATTTAGAAGATTCTAGAGTCTGACTAAAAACAGTAACCTGAACTTTTCATTCGTTGGATTTTTATACGGTTGTCTCAATCTACAATGAGGCGTGTGCCTTGGAAGGACCTACCGGCTAGTCTGAACACAGTAGAGACTTTCTTCCCTAGAGTTCTATGAACTGCAAAGAAAGTTTTATCATGATGTCTAAGAACTACACCCCCAAATTTTTTTATCTCGTTGCACATTACTCATCTTTATGAAATATCTGTTTTTGCTTTTTGTTTTTTAGTTTCCCTTTTCTAGGTGATTATTATATGAAATTCTTTCTCAGCTAATATATTTTTAATGGGTTTTGGAATGGGTTGGGGGCGGGGGAAGGAGGAGGAGAAAGAAGCAACATTCGAACAACTTCTGCAATTTTCAAAAACAGGGTCATATTTAAATCTAGAAGGCAAAGCTCACTTTCCCATCAGCCAAAGGGAAAAAAAAATAAGATTATGGGAAATAAAAGTGATGAATTAGCCACTGCGTTAAGTGATAATAAATCAGGCTTGGTGTGATTCACGATCAATTCCAATTAGTCATGAATATGCTAAGTAAAGCACAGTACACTGGTTTAGACAGTTATTTCTTCATTAAGGACCACTCAGTGATTTCTTTCACAAATGCTCTAATCTGATTTCCTTTTGATTTCCATTAGAGACAGTGAATAATGACATTTAATTTAGCCCTGCACCATAAACCCAAAGATATTTGTTGTAATTGAATTACCGCCTGCTCCTCACTATGGTCTCATAACTTTCAATTATAACCCTGACAGCTGGGTGATATGAGTTTCCAGTACAACACTAAAAATAAAAGGTTAATAAGGACCAGCTACCATAGGAGCCTCAATTTATTTACAGCAAATTTCCACACTAAATTGAAACTATATCCTTTAACAACAAGGGACAGGCTGTACAGAAAAAGATTATAAAACAATTCAGATAGTATTAAAATATAGCTTTTTTTTCTTCCTATCATTGGTTTCTGCCCTCCCCTAAGTCTCCCAACTATTTCAGCATTAAATATATATTTTGATTGATGAATGTTATGAGCACTTTCTGCCTTTTCCTCTTCTTTATTATGTGAATCTTCTATGGTCAACATACAACAATTATTCTTTTATATTTCTATGTATTTTTTATTTACAGTAGTTAATTTTAAATTCCCACCTGAATCAATAGCTACACATTCCCCCCCTCCCCTTCTTTTTATTTTAGGGTTTTCCAAGACCTGCAAGGACTTGAGGAACCAATTTTCTGTAACTATGAACATCCTGTTACGGTTCTACTCAGTAATAAACTACTGAAAGAAAGAGTGCAGAATTAAATTACAAGTAATTTATTTTTATAGAAACAGTACATCAAGGCCTGGAAGATATTACAGATCCCAAGCAGAAGATACTGGGAGATGACATAAAAGTTGATGTCCCCTTCAGCAAAAGTTTAATCTTTTCATTAATTTATATGGTACTGTTAGATCAATCTTTCCTGAGAATATAGGCCAGTATGGAGGCCCCATCCTCAGCCTTTTCCCTCCCTCCTACCCTTCGCACAATTCCCCTGAAAAGGTCCCTTGCTAGGACATATAGTCTACAAGGGATCTTTTCCCTACTTGTTTTTATGCAGAAGGATTATTTTCACCACCACTGAGAAAAGCTAGCAGCACTAGCTCAGAAAAGTGCCTGGAGGAACGATTTATTTAAGCTGGATATGCCACTTATGCAGACACTCTTGAAAAGATGGGAGGGAGGATTGGCTAGAATGAGATTGGGAAGGGACACAAGACTTCTTTTGGGAAATACTCAATATTTTTTTAAATTGCTACTTATAAGGGCATCTTATTTTCTTTCAAAAAGTGAGGTGGAAGACATTATTTGAATATATGGGACAAATAACAATCTGAATAGATGCTCAGGGAAAAGTTCCTTTGCCCCTTCTGGGTCCTACAACACAGACTGAACTGATTTATTTGCCTTTTATATGAAACTTGTCCCTAGGTTTTGTATGCTTTCCTTGGCCCCCTTCCTTCACCACCCTTCAGTTTTCCCTCAGGAAAATGAGAGACAAAGCGAAAAGCAGATTTTAACCTTCAGGAACAACAATTCAAATAAAGTGCATTCAAAACTAGAATAGTCTTTTCCTAAATTAAACAATGCAAATATGTGTGTGTGTGTGTGTGTGTGTGTGTGTGTGTGTATCCAATTTGTCTTTTCTAATGCTGGAGAAAATGTAACATAACCCATACTGTGATAAGTATGTGTACAAAAACATACATGTATTTCCACACACCAGATGGAGTGGTATGAATTCATGCGCCTGCTCTGAGAGTCAGATGGGGACCCTTCTAGTCTCCACCCCGAGTCTGGATAATCCGGTCCCAAGGAGACCAGACAGACTAGCTTTTCAATATGCCAAGTATTTTCTGCTACTCCATGACACCCCAGTGGAGTGGGTAAGGGTAGAGAAGCACAGAGAGAAAAAAGGAGACGGGGTGGAGAGAGAGAAAGAGAGAGAGAGAGATTAGAATAAGGAGGTGTGGGGTAAAAGACAGCATCAGTGAATCCTTGGCAGTCAAAAGAGTGAAAGGAGAATGAGTGTCAGCCCTGTCTGATCCTTACGAGTGTCCATTCACACATTATTTCTTCTTACCCTAGCCCACTCCTTCAAGTTGTTTTCTACCTCCAAAATTCAGGCCAAACATCAGCACCCCACAAAGCAAAGCAGGAGGGAAAGATTAATAAATAGGAGGGATAAAAATAACAGATAGATGGATAGATAGATAGACAGACAGACAGACATAGATAGATAGATAGATAGATAGATAGATAGATAGATAGATAGATA